TGGGGACAGGACACGTTTCATATGCGTTTTCCCCCTGGGCACGCCCCCATACGTGTATCATACGAGTATGGCCAGTCAACTACTTCAAAATTTCTGCTACCGCACCAGAACGATTTCCACACGATTTGAGCACTTTCAACCTCTTATTTTGGGTCCAAAACAGTGTTTTTACACTTATCAACCTGTAAAATTCATCTAATTTTGTTATTCTACTATTCTACAACAATTTTTACCTATAATTCTTTGATTTTCGTCATATTCCTAGATCTACAATTTTCTAGATCTGGGTTTTCATGAAGCAACACAATAAAAACGAAATCAGCAACAACAACACATACATGGCATCATGGGATTCATGAATTTCACATACAATCACATAGAAACAACACAAAATCAAATAAAGAAGAACATTCATCAATTATTCATGAAACTTAAAGAAGAGAAGAAACCCTCACTATCCTCTCATGCTATAATCACCATTTAGAGAATTCATTCACCCCCTTACCTTCACTTGCAGTCTTGATTCTTCAACAATGGAGGAATCTCTCTTGTCCTAGTTCTTTCTCTTCTCTTCTCTTTTTCTACGTGATAGCAATCATTTCCAATTGTTCTAATCCTCTTCTAATTATATTTTATTATTATTAATACTAACTAATAATAATAATAATAATAATAATAATAATAATAATAACTATAATATTAATAATAATAGTATTTTCCTTTAATTTCCATTATTATCAATATTTCACCATATGTTAAGCTTATCCTAATTATTTAATTAAGACTAAGCTCTCACATTCCCTCAGTTATGTCAACATAATTTAAATTCAACAAATAATGACTAAATATTTAAATAGAGTATTACACATTGTATTAACATAATTAAATTATTTATATTTATAAATTAACAACTTTAAAAATAATTATATGATTAAATAAAAATCAATCTTACAATTGACTTTCTTATTAATAATCAAAATCCATCAAAATTGTGAAACAATTATACACTAAATCTTTTTTAAACTTCCATCAATAACATTACTGTCGTATTTAAATAAAATAAATTAACACTAAAATCTAAACTCAAAGTTGCATACTAAATTATTTGATATAAAGTACATGTAAGGACATTCATCCACATAATGAACTGTGAGATAACAAAGTTACATGATTTTTTGATAATTTTCGTTTAGATATATGTCCTTTGAAGAATGTTATAGTTCTCAAACCCTAAGATTTTATTTGGGAGTTTGAAGAAGAAGCGATATGAGATCTTTTATTCAAAAACAAAAATTCCCCTAATTTGAAAAACTAAAAAATTATATTAGTGAAGGGGTTTAAAGGGGTTTGAAGGAGTTAAATAAATTTTTTAAATATAATTCTTATTATTATATTATTCCAAAAATTAAAAATATATTAATGATAAATATTCTTTTATCATTCTATATAAAATATTTCTTTTAAAATATATTAAATATTATTCTATAATTTTTCAAAAATTCTATTTTTAAAGCCCTCCCTCCCTCCTCTAACTCGAAGACAAAGCTTAAAAGTAAATTAATTTATAATTCTAATTTAAAACTCCATATTTATGGATCATATTCTTTCCATAATTGGTCACACCATTATAATGTTAGCCCATGTTCAATTTTAATCAAATAATCAAAAAAGATCTTTTTAATTTTTATTTTATATTCTTAAAATAAATTTTTTTGAATAATATATCATCCGATTTTGATGAGATTTGTTGACCATAGCAAATCTATGTCCTTTCATCATGACCTTAATGTAGGAGTGGGAATTATTTTGGAAGTGATAATGGCCATTCCTTAAATATCGTATATTGTCGATGAATACCAAACCTTCCAATTCCATCAAATTATTCCACCTAATGCACTTTGGATCGCACCTTTAACTTAGTCTCTATTGGTAACGTACTATTTCATCTTGAATAATGTGCTAAAATTTGACAATGAGATTCTGAAAGTTCAGATTCATGACCAAGAGGATACAAATAAAATATAGATCTACAAACTAAATATTCTTCTTATCTCTTAGGTGTAGTTGAAGGTTCCTCCAAAATCAAAATATTCATATATGAAGAGTGGTTAATAGTATTGTTGTGCCCACTATGTCCAACTTGTTATAAAAAGCTAACAGAAGATAAGGTTTATCTTTATTTAGTATATGTTGTTAATAGTACAAGACTCAAGAATGATGGATATATTTTTTGATAGGGTTAATTTAGTGACATAGGGATATTACAGGTTTTTTTTTTAGGTCTAGGTCTCTATTAGACCAAACAATAGCATCATCACAAATATCTATGGTTTTTCTATAAATAAATAAAATAAAACAGCTGGTATGATTGATTATAGTTTATATAGCTAGCTACTGTCCGGTTAGTGTCTTATTAATAAATTTTGCAAACAAAATATTTCAATCTATATCTATTTATCCTCGTCAAAAAAAATACACTATAAAACAAATATTACTTTGTATTAAAAGAAATTAGATTCTAGTGTTATTTATTTTAGTAATTGAAGCACCAGGCATACACTTGATTGATACAATAAATTTAATGTCTTATGAATAATAATATTATATTTTTTAGATATATAAATATAATTTTTAAGATAATTAATTTTATGATTTAAAAAATTAACATTGCACAATATATTAAATGTTTACCTTCTATTTCTATATAAACTTTATTATATTAAAATGAAAAATATCCATTTTTCAATTAAAAATATGATTACTAGACAGAAATGAAAAATATTCATTTTTCAATTTAAAATATGATTACTAGACAAAAATAAATTTTTGATGTTTTGCAAATTGCATTTGGTTAAGATTTTCTTGTTACTATTCTTATAAATTAGTTAGACCAACACATGTTACTCATAGACTATTATACTATCTTTATATCACTTTATTAATTTTTATTGATGATGATGTTTGTCGTGTTTGTCACAAGATGTGTTTCGAGGCATTCGAGGAACGTGCGATTTATTGTAAGTTTCAAATATCAAAATGATTTTATTAGAGATATTATATTTGATATATTATACAGTGGACTAGAACATATATATGAAGAAAGAGGTTTTTGTGAATTTTTTATACTAACTCTAAAAATGATGATCAATAGATATTTTGTTGTACGACTGAAGTAAGATAAAAATGCGCATATGTGAATTTGCCTAGGATTGATGTTTCTTCATTGGTGGAAGGAATTCATGACGAAATATAAATTATGGATCGTTAAAGTCATTTTAAGGATTGATCTTGTATAAAAAGTCCAAAAGTTCATGCATAATATGTATTTTAGATTAGTGAGTGTATTTTTTTATAAATTAATTTGTTTTAAATATTGGTACAGATTATTATTATTTTGTTTTGTTTTAAAATTCAGACCAACAATCAATCTAATTAAAATATTAGATCATTAGATCATTAATTGGACCGATGAATCACATGTTAGAGTGTATAGTTGTTCATCCAAATATATAAAAATCCTAATTGACATAAAATTATGATGGTAAAGTTTTAAAATATATATATATATATATATATATATATATATATATATATATATATATATATATATATATATATATATATATATATATAATCTAAATAAATTTTCAATACCCACACTAAATCAAACTCAAGAATTTAAGAAATCAAACAACCAAATTCATATAAAATTCAAGAATTCAAGAAATCAAATAATAAAATTCATAGTAACAGTTAAGGCATTGAGTCATTAAATCATTGGTTGGATTAATGAATCACAGATTAAGACCGTATTCAATATATATAAAAAATTCTAATTAATATAAAATTATGATTATAAAATCTTTTAAAATATATGTATAAAATCTAAATAAATTCTCAATACACAAGTTAGAATCAAACTCAAGAATTTAAAAAATCAAATAATTTAATTTATATAAAGTAAAGATAAATTCTTTTTCAATAGACAATTACAAAAAAATTAGTACTATATAATCATCATTTAATATTTGAAATCATCTAAAATATATGTCTTAACATCCAACAAAAACAAAATAATGAATCATAAACCTTTAGTAAAATCACTTAAATCAAATGACATATGTTAAATGCAAAGCAAAAATATAACATTAAAATTAATATTAAATATATTTTTGGTTCCTATAAATATCTCAAATTTCATTTTTAATTTTTATTAAAATAATAGTAAGTTTTAGTCCCTATAAAATTATTATGCACGCAGTCTTAGTCTCGGTTGTTAAACTAATATGTATTTTTGAATGATTATTTTGTAGACATGTTTAGAACATTATAAAAAATTTCTTGGAAAAAAGGAAATTCAAAATTTGATTTCTAAGTCGAGATTTTCATTATTTTTATCAATATCTTTTGAAATTTAAAAAAATCATATTTAATTATTTTCATTTTAAAAAATTATAATTTTTAATAAATAAATATTTTATAGTATTCTAAACACATATGAAAAATATTATTCAAAAATTTAAAAATTTAAGGATAATTAAACAGTTTTTAAAATTTAAGAAAATAGCCTAGAATAAAATTGGATGAACAAAATTTTAAATAGTTGTGTTGAACAAAAATAAAAAATAAAGAAAACAATGAGGTGTAAGAAGTGATGAAGCAGTGTTGGATTAAATACGCGATGACCCGAAAGTGACTCATAAAACTTGATTCGTCGTTGCTTTCTCTTTCTCTCCCTTGAAGAGAATCTCCACATTCTCCATTTTACCCTCCACATTCACATTTAACCCACTTTATTATTTTTTATATCCCCTCATCAAAATTATCTCAACTCAGTCTCCTCATTCCCAATCTTTTCTATTATATAAATCCCATAACATCTCCTACTCACTATTTCTCTCTCTCTCTCTCACAAATTTCCTCTGTTATAACTCAATCTCAATTCAACAATCTCAATCCAACGGCCTCTATTCAACACAAACAAGATCTAATCCAATCCAATGGGCTCTGTTTCTTCAGAACTGAGTTTAGATTTAACACCCACTTTCGTTCCCAAAACCATCGCTAGTTTTCTCTACAATCTATCCACAATTCATACTCCCTCTCATAAACTCTCTAAACTCCACGATTTTCTCTCCAAATTGGAACAAGAACTCCATAAGATCCACGCCTTCAAACGCGAACTGCCTCTTTCCATGCTCCTCTTAAACGACGGTAATTCGTTACGATTCATTCATTTCTCAATATCATATTCTTCCTTATAATTTCTATTTATTAATTATTCTTTTTTTTTTTGGTGCGTCACAGCAATCTTAATTTTGAAGGAGGAATCGGAGAAATGCAGACGTGAGAGTTGTGTGCCGGTTTTGGAAGAGTTTATTCCGTTGAAGAAAGAGATTGATCACAGTGAGGAAAATCATGATATTGATAGAGATAAGAATAATGAATGCTGCAGAGATAAAAAGAATTGGATGAGTTCTGTTCAGCTATGGAACACCACAACCACCACCACCAATACTACTAATGATAATAATATTAATAATAATGCCTCTCAACCTGATCATAAAGTTTGTAGCAATCAAAATAAATTAGAAACCAAGGTACTATACATAACAACATGATACAATAAAACAATTTAAATACAACATTATTTATTTATTTATTTATTATGGAAAAAGTTAATTTAAGTTTTTTTTTTTTTTTAATTTGGTGATGACAGAAAAGGGAAGAGGAAGAAAAATCTGTGACTATAGCTGAAGATCGTTTTCAATCTTGTAGTAGTAATAGGAATGGAGGAAGTGCTTTTATGCCATTTTCAACTTATTCTTCTGTTCCTGTGACGAAGATTAAATTGGCAGCAGCTAAAGATGAGAAAGATGAAACTGGTTTGAATAGGCTGTGTTTTTTGACGCCTGGAGTGAAAAGTTTGAGGGAAGGATTTGATTCGAGGGGATCGAGGAGTAGTTCTAGCAGAGCTGTTTCTGTTTCGTCTTCTCCTCCTACTGTGCAGACGAGTTTGAGGAGTGCGCCAGTTCAGCCGCAGCAGATTGCTAGGAAACAGAGGAGGTGCTGGTCGCCCGAGTTGCATAGGAGATTTGTTAATGCGTTGCAGAAGCTTGGAGGTTCTCAAGGTTAGAATTTGAAACCATTAATTTTATGTTTTTGTGATGTAGCATGTTTTTTACTTTCTTAAATTAGAAATGTGCATTTACTTTGTTTTGATTCTTTTGTTATTAGGTTTCATAGTGCTCAATTTTGACCAATTTGGTATTATAGACTAGTATATGGAAGGATATGCCAGAAGATGGGCTGGATAGTTAGTCTTTGAATTTTAGGCATTGGAAGCCTGAAATTTGAAATTGAATGTTGTTCTGTTTAATTCATTGGTAAAGTTATGATTATGTTATAGAGATTTGACAAAATTTTACGTTGGTTGTCGACTGCCTATCACAACCCTCTCCTTTTATCTGGGTTTGAGACCGGCTATGCATAGCAAAGATACTATAAGTAGGATTCATTGGTAAAGTTATGAATTGCTAAAATTTAGATCAGCAAGGAGACAAATAGGACTGTTATATATAGACATGTCAATCTATAGGCCTATCCCCGGAACAACTTTTAATCAGACTTTACTTATTTCGCAATCAAACTCGAGATTACCAGACTTTACTTATTACCCTAAGAATCGAAGAGTTGAGACCAAAAGATTTGACTTTGCAATTTTGCGTTCATATATTTGGAATCTTGTTTGGTTCATTAGTCTAATTGATTCTTTTACTACTGCAGCAACGCCAAAGCAAATCAGAGAACTGATGCAAGTTGATGGCCTGACTAATGATGAAGTGAAGAGCCATTTGCAAGTGAGTTCTTGGTATTCTTTTTCCCTCTTAACCACATGCTTTAAGCTTAGTTACTAGGTGTTTGATGATCTTCTGTTGACAATGATGATGATATAGTTAATATAAAATCAATCATATGATGCCGCTATTGAAGTATCGATATCCTCATATAATCGAGGTATACTAGACGATGGTGTCTGGTTGTGAGGCCTTTAAGATTGAGATTAGTGCGTGTTATCAAGTTATAGGATTGGATATTTGACATATGGTTCGTTATTACTCTTGCAGAAATACCGTCTTCATACACGGAGAGTTCCAGCTGCAAACGGTAATGAGTCTGTTGTAGTTCTTGGAGGTTTATGGATGTCTCAAGAACCATACAATGGATCTTCCAAAGGTAGCAGTTCGGCGTCTGGTTCTCCACAAAGTCCTCTTCATTTAGCTACAGGATCCCGGGGAGGGACATCCCGAACTGAAGGTGATAGCATGGAAGACGACGATGAAGATGCAAAATCAGAGAGTTATAGCTGGAAAAGTCATATTCACAGACATGGACAAGTTGGTGTATAGGATTATACTCTCCACCATGAAATTTTGCAGATAAAAGTATACATGGGAGGAGTTTTACAACTACATTGAGAATAATAATACATGAATACATAGAAGAGAGAGGCTATTGGAAATTTATATAGAGTTTTTAATTGAGACTATGAATTATAATTTTATTAATCCTCCATTCCACGATGATAAGTAGCAGGTTATTTTCATCTATAATGAATTCTTTCATTTGTTTTTGTCACAAGTGAATGTTATGTTTCGCTGGGTTATTTACTCCCTTATATATGATCATGTCGTGGTTTTTTCTCAAACCCGGAACATGAAACATTTCTGTTATTTCATTTTGATGCTCTGTCTCTCATTGTAATATGCCAAATCAAAAAAAAAAAAAGGTCAATAAGGCAAAATTGCATCACTTTGCAGTTGTAATTTTACTTCCAAGTTGCCATCAAGGAAACCATTACTATGTCCACTTGCGAGGTCCCATTTAAAAACAGAGTAAAGATTTATACAAATTGATCTAACACAGAAATTTGTTAAAACATTTAAGAGGATAAGTTTTTAGCACTTAGCATAATTCAAATCTAAAACCTTAAACGGAAGAATTCTTAGCATTTAGCGGCATCATACCTAAATCCAATATTATTCTTAAACCAAAAAATAATCTATGGTAAAAAACATGTAAATATTAAATTGAAAATTTCTAATAAAATATCATATCATATACATAATTGCATCCACTATTTGAATTAGTCAAAGGTTTGAATTTAGCATAATTTTGTCCTTTCACGTAACCCTAAAGAATGAAAAAAAACAACCAGTTATTTACAATGGATCAAGATTCAAGCATGACAAAAAAGTCACTTTCCCCAAACAAAATTATTGAAAAGAATCTTGCAAACAAAATAATGAAGGAGCCCACAGTGATATATCATTATTCATTTATAATTATGAGGGTCTGTTTGGTGTAATAAGCTAATGAAAATGATAGAATCTCTTTAATTCTATATACACCTTCTAAAATCAGGTTCAATTCAGCTTATCTCAACCAACTACCACAAATTAAATATTTGGTCCAAATTCAAAAAAAATCTTGACAATATATTCTGTATTACATGTGTTGGTAAACATGGAGAATAGAAAATCACATGGTAGGTTAGTTTTTAAATATTAAAAAAATAAGGCACATTTATGTAAGTATATCTATCTACCATGTAATGTCCCACCTAGAAACTTATGCTTAAAATATATTCTTTCAAAGACTAGCCAACTGGTTAGTAGTTTTCCATCATGGCATGAATTTGTATGGAACAAGAAAATGCCACCAATAATTATTCTACGCGTCAAGATGCGTTTGGCAAAAAAGCCAACCACCACCCACCAAGACAACAAAAATTATTATGCAATTTTGGCCTAATTGGAAGTATTTTGTTTGGTTTCCAAAATCTAAGTAAAATTTGTGTGTTGTGTTGTTCATGTTTTTATGTATAATTTGGTGAGAATCTTGTCAATATGATGAACACGGGTCATGTTTGGTTCTTTGGTATAATTTAATTTTTAATTGATTGATGTAGTCCATCTGAGTCGGCTTGGATCGGATTTGTTCTAATTTATTAACTAATCTATTTAATTTTTAGAATTAAATAAATTTTGGTCTTTCTAAATATTTCAAATTTCGTTTTTAATCTCTCTAAAATTTTTCTTCAAAGAATAGTCCTCTTGAAAAATTAAATTTTAATTTTTGGTCTCTCTTGTAATTTAGCGACGGTTTTTACAACTAGCGACGGTTTTAACGACGATTTTTATTTAGCGACGAAATTAGAGACAATTTTAACTACGATTTTGTCAGGAGGGACCAAAAATTAAAATTTAATTTTTTAGGAGGATCATTCTTTGTAGGAAAAATTTAGAGGAACTATAAACGAAATTTGAGATATTTAGATTGACCAAAAACTTATTTAACCCTAATTTTTATTGATTTGAATTCATCATTTTTTTGTTGATAAAAGGATGGGGTCCACCCTTATGTGTACACCTGTTTTTCATGAGTCTGGAGATGCATCTTTGGACGCATCTAAAATCAAAGTAAACTTTGTTTTTCTAAAAAAATCCTTCTCATTTTATAAAAAATATGGTTCAAAAATGCGTTTTTGTATGCTATTTGAGTGTATCCGGAGATGCATCTATGAAATATTCATATACTCATTTATGGTGTTTTATTTCACTGAGCTGATTTAGTAAACGACTCAGTAATATTTCTGGAGATGCATCTCCAGAAATATCAAGTGGGAAATTGGAATAATTACCACCTTACATGATTTCCTTCTTCATTCTTGAAACTATACTTCATTATAAAAACCCTTAAAAACTTTTACTCCATTCTCAATCAACTTTTCAACACCAAAACATCATTCTTGTATTTTATCACTTAAAAGGGAGCAGAAACAAGTTGAAATTGCAGGTAAAGTTCATTCATTTCGCCATGCATTCCTTGCATTAATCTGATATTTTTAATTGAAAAATGAATGTTGAATCCTGATATGCATCTCCGAGCGAAGTTTGGTGTGGTCTGGATATGCATATCCGGATTGTCATGATAGTTTGAGTTTTCACACTATTTTTCTGTTGTTGGTGGTATTAGATATGTTGCACTAGAATATATTTCTCAAAGCTATTGTGAGTGTGGATGTTAAACTGGATGAAGTGAAGCATGATATTAAACCAGATGAAGTGAATGATGATGTTTAACTGAATGAAGTGAATGCTGATGTTAAATCTGGACCTCAATCGGTTGTTGTCGAGGTAGATGTTTGTGCATAATTTACAAATAAATAAGAATTCATTGTTCATGAACATATGTTACAATGGGTCCGCGGAAAGGCCAAACAATTGGGGTTTGGGGTTGTAATTGAAATGTCTGACATTTCTTCGGATAAAAGACAATATTTGTGACAATGAGATGCAAAAGAAGTAGCACGTACCAATCACAAATTAGGAAGTAAAAACGAGATGACACTAGATCGAGAAAATGTGAGTGACCATTTAAATTGCGTGAATACCATATGGTGGATGAGACATGAAAATTTAATGTGATTTCTAGTATGCATAATCATGCCTTGACTGACAAGTTAGTCGGTCATCCCATTGTATGTCGCCTTGTTCCGGAGGATAGGGTACTTGTTTAGGACATGACATTAAACATTGTGGCATTCAAAAAACATACTCGCATATTTGAAACAGAAAAGACCTCTAAATGTTTCAAATATCAAGCAAATATACAACATGCGTGCTCGAGACAAGAAGGCAGTAAGAGGACCAAGATCTGAGATGCAACAACTGTTAAAGCTTTTAGAGAATGACACTATGTTTCTAGGTATAGAGTTTATGAGGATAAATTCATAGTTCGAGATATATTTTAGAGTCATCCTGATTCCATCAAGTTGTTCTACACATTTTCCACCGTTCTCATAATTGATTCAACATACAAAATAAATAAGTATAGACTACCACTCTTGGAAATTGTTGTTGTTACTTCTACAGATATGACTTTTTCATTCGATTTTGCATTTTTAGAATCTGAAAAAAAAAGGATAACATTACATGGGCTTTAGAAACATGTAAGACTATGTTGAAGGACCAAGAAAACATGCCACAAGTCATAATCACTGATCGCGATACAACACTTATTAATTTAGTTGCAACAGTGTTTCCTATATTGTCTGCATTACTTTGTAAGTATCACGTAACCAAAAATGTGACAAGTTGAGTAAAACCTACGGTTGGCACGAAACAAGTCATAAATGAAGAAGGAAAAATTGTAAAACCTGGTGTGGTGGTTGAAAATATAATGGATGCATGGAATTCTATAATAAATTCTTCCGTGGAAGAATCATATGCGAAATCTGTTCTACATTTCAGGAGTATGTGTGCAATATATTCAAATTTTCTAAAATATGTTAAAGGCACTATTTTGGATCTGGTTAAAGATAATTGTGGTTTTTGAGTTGTTTTGGTTTTGCTCAGTAAAGGAGAGGACGACTGCCAATTTGTCAGTCGTTATCTTATACAAAAGATGAAGACACATAGGTAATCATACACAAAGTTATACGGGAACAAAGAAAATTACGATACAATTCTCAATGCTCTAGTTCCTTGTCTTACTAGTCCGGACGCGTTTGAAAAATGGATGCACTTACCGAAAATAGGGAACCGTATAGCAAGTACTTTTGATAGGGTGTGTATTGATTTAACACGATATGGTTTCTCTGAAACATTCTTTCAACTTTAGAGTAAGCCACCTCAAAATCCATCCCAATGCATCATGTGTATTGGCTGGCTATCAAAAAAACAATATTTTGTTCAGGTTTATTTGAAACGAGATGTCATATACCATAGACATCACCAGAGTGAACGCCATATTTCACAGAAGAAACTGAAACTTGAACGGATCACTTTTTAGAAAGGATGGAAGAGTTCATCAAGTTGAGCGACATTGAAAGAGAAGCAAATAAGAAAAGGTTGAAGAATTTCCAAATTTCCTGGCTCAACCTCGTACCACTATTACAGTTGTGAAATTGATAAAATTTCCAATTATATCCTCCAATAGTACTATTCATCATCTATTTAAAGAGGACAGTGAATTTTGAAGAAGGAGAGCACTACAACAAGAAGAACCACAACGATAACAACAACAAGAACAATGAGAGAAACAACACTCACTACACTTAGAGCTAATTCTTGAATATTTTCTTATGTGTAAATTCTAAAATTCACTTTGTGTATCTGCTTGTTTATAAGCATTTTTGTAAACACACAATATTGGTATTTTAACTTTGGTTACCTTCCTTGAGGGACTAATTTTAGTTTGTAGCCTCGAGAAGTTATTGACAATTCATCTTTGAGTTTGAATTTCCTTGAGGGACTGAGTTTAGTTTGTAGCCTTGAGAAATCATTGACACTTGGTCTTTGAGTTGTAATCTAATTGATTAGTGGATTAAGTCCTTATGAGAAGG